GTGCTTTTTCTTTTTGTGCCCCATTTTTGTGGAACAACCTCCCTCAAGATATTAGGCAGGCATGCTCTGTGGAGGTTTTTAAAGCTAAGCTGAAGACTCACTTGTTCATAAATAAAGTTATTATTATTCACTGGAATCTCAAAAAGCCTTAGACATGGCTGTGTAACCTTCTATGATAGACGACAGATTGACAGATGATACTAGATGACAGACAGACTGATAGAGGTCAGTTACTTTGTTTCTCATCTCTTTTTGAGTATCTTTATATTCTGGCTCGTCAAACTGAAGGGCCCATACAAAAGGGACCCCCTCAAACTGACTTTTAGTTTTAGTCACCTTGTTTTCCAGCAAATTAACTGTTCTGTCACTAGTTATAAACTAGGAAATTAGCATAAACTAATGTAAGTCTATTAGCTGAAACCAACCTAATGACATCCTGCTCTGAACAGGCACAGGATGGTGCTAAACATGTTCTAAAACCTTTCAATTTAAACAATTTTTTATTAAATCCAGTTTCACAGACAGTGTTAAATCTAGGACCGTTTCTGAGAGCAGGGCTCCATGGTGTAAGTTAGTGTTTATATATGTAATTTTTCTATTTTAAGGCCGACTCTATAGCCCTGTTCTTTAATTTTAGACAACTTGTTTTGTTAAACTGACTGATTCTTAAAACATGCTGTGATGCAAATTATCTGTTGTTTTGATCATCTGCCCAGCACTATTATTCTGGTTCACTACAGTCTAATACATGTCATACTCACTGTCAGCATGTCATCACACTTCATATCTGGCAGTTCTCCATCTTCACTCTTGTTGTAGAACTTCCTGAAAAAGTTGAAGGCCACTACTGTGTAGAGGTACACCACCACTGCTAATAGGCCAACAGTTAACACTAGCTGGAGAAGGGGCAAGAAAAGACTGCTGTGACGCAAACAAGGGCAAATATCACAATCTTCACTCAATATTTACAAATGTTTAATCTTATAATATTCATATAGTGCTCTCACCTGTTTGCCATTGTGTGTGACTGAGGAGAGAATGGTACGCAGTGTCTTAAAACCCATGGCAATGTCCAGTAGATGGGCAGCAAAGAAGAAGTTGTTGTAGTGACCCAGAATGGACATGGTCATATACCAGGCCAGATACAGGAAGGACTACAAGGACGGAAGATGGAAATTCAGTCAATACTGACTATCGCAACGAGTGTAAATGAGTTGCTGGTTTACAATATTAGGTAACATCCAGGCTGCTGATTGTGTAGCTAATAAATCAAATAAAAGCATCATAAAACATTTCAAATGATAATTACCAGACAATAGATTAATGACTCTTGACACAGATGTGGATGACACATCAGCAGCTACATTTACATTTATACACTTTCAATGTGGAGGAGCGGCAGCTCTAATCCGAGTCCCTCTCGGATAACTGAGCTCCTCACGCTCTCTCTAAGTGAGAGCCCACTCGCTCTTCGAAGGAAACTAATTTCTGCCACTTATATTGGAGGCCTCACTCTTTATGTTACTACCTAGAACTCGTAACGATAAGTGATGGTAGGAACATAGACCAATGAAGTGACAGTTTCACCACAACACATTGGTACACTATCCACATCACTGCAGATGCTGCCCCACTTTGTCCGTCTATCTTGTGTTCCACTTCTGAACGAGACCCCGAAATACTCCTCCACTTGGGACAGTAACCTGTCCTTTAGGTGGAGTGGGCACTCCATCTTTTCCAGCCAGTTAATCCATAATCTCAGATTTAGTGGTGCTAATTCTCTGCCGCTTCACACTCGGCAGCAAACTATTGCAGTGCAAACTCGAGGTCATCTCCTGATGACACCAACAGAACCACATCATCCGGAAAATATGTGCGTTGTCCTTCAACGCACATATTAAACAAATATGTAAGACTGCGTTCTTCCCAACATCTCTAAAATTAGAAATATCCTGTCTCAGAGTGACGCTGAAAAACTAGTTCATGCATTTATTACTTCCAGGCTGGACTACTGCAATTCAT